TAGCCCCAGCTGTCCTGGAACTCACTATGTAGACCAGGCTGGCCTCAGACTCACAAAGATCCACCTGCCTCTGCCTCCCAAGCGCTGGGATTAAAGGCATGCACTACCACACCCGGCTAATAAAATATTGTTAAAAAATATAAATCTTTTTTTTTAAAAAAAGGAAAGCATTTATATTTGTATGGTAGATACACTCCTTAAGTGAGCTAGTGATATAAAATTCTTATTTCAAAGTCAGGCATGGTGGTGCATGCCTTTAACCTAGCACTCAGGAGACAGAGCAGATCTCTGTGAGATCCAGGCCAGCCTGGAGTTCTAGGCCAACCAGGGCTACAGGGAAACCCTATTTCAAAAAAAATTTTAAAATTCATGCCAGGCATAGTGGTGCATGCCTTTAATCCCAGCACTCGAGAGGTGGACCTCTGTGAGTTCAAGGCCAGCCTGGTCTGCAATAGTGAGTTCCAGGTCAGCTGGGGCTACAAAAAGACCCTGTCTCAAAAATGCCAAAATAAATAAATATAAAATAAAATTCATACTTTAGGACTTTTCCCTTAGATCCTGGTGTGGTGGCTCATGTCTGTAATCCCTACACTCTTGGAGACTGAGGCAGGAAGATTCCTATAAATTCAAGGTCAACCTGGTCTGCATAGCAAGACAATATCTAGAAAGGAAGGGAAGGAGAGATGGAAGGAGGGAGGGAAGGCGAGAGGGGAAGAAGAAAGACACTGTACTTTAGGAAAAGATAAAAAGGCAGTTTGGAGGGTAATGAATGTTAGCATTATAACACAATTTTACTTTAATATTTCCTTTTAAAGTTCTTCATTGGGTATAATTACTGAAGAGTACTCTCATAAATGAACAGCATGGGCTTTCATAGTGGATGTTTAGTCTTCATGGTATTTTATCACCACCAGCTTGTGTTTTATAGTTACTGTTTGGGGACTGTATTTTTCAATAGTGTCACTGAAACCCCTGCTTAATGCAGGCTTGAGAGATACCATTAGAGAACATCAAAATATTTTCAGTTATAATAGAGTTTTAAGATAACAGTATATTAGTCATCACAGTCACTGTGGAAGTCCCTCTGTACATAAGCAGCAGTGAGATTCACAGTCCTGTGCAAAGATGATGGATGTTCCATTCTTAGCAAGTGGCTCCACGGGGGTGGTAATAGCATAGCAGACTACTTAGTCCTCCAGCTTTCACATTATTCTATCACTGATAATTTTTGAAATGTAAGGAATCCCCTATTCCCACTGTTGGTTTGCTGGTCTGTTTTTGGTTTTTTCATTATTGCAAGTTTTTTGAACTATGCCATATGACCCATGAAGATTAGAAGGACTGTTCCCAGGAAGCAGTGGATCCTGATTTCTGACTTGAGAAAAAAGTAAAGTATCAGGAGACTGTTGGAAAGAGAAATACAGAGATGGAGAAGGAGATTCATAAAACCAGAAAATCGCCAAGGACTGTGATTATAAAGAAGTATGTTACAGGTGGTTGTTAGCTACCATGTGGGTGCTTGGATTCAAACCTGAGCCTTCTGCAAAAACAGCCAGTGCTCTTAACCACTGAGCCATCTCTCCAGCTCCCAATTTTTTTTTAGATATACCCAGTATTGGGATTGCTGGATCTATTTCTAGTTTTGTTGTTTGTTTTTTGTTTTATTTTGTTTTAGTACAGTCTCTATACTGATTTCCATAGTGTGACAGCCCTTTTCATCTTAAGGCTGTTTCTCAAAATTCTGGCAAATGTAACCTGTCAGTAAATTTTACAGCTCAAATTTCATAGTAATAATAATGCTGTAAGATACTTATCTAAGCATTTTCAACAGTGGGTTGGTGCTGTTGTGACCCTGATTTTCTAGATGAGGTGGCTAAGACCTAGAGACATTGAGTAACTGCCTGAGTGTATAGCTGGGCTTCTCACAAAGCAGTCTTTCTCCAGTCAGTATTTTCACCCTGGGCTGAGCCAGCCTGGATGTGCCAGATTGGACTGTGATGAAGACCACACTGGGATGTTAGGGTTAGTCTGAGATCATGTGTGTATTATGTTAGCAAGCCCAAATGTGAGCCAGAGAAGCAGGTAATGTTACAGTACAAGCCTGTAAATAGCGTGTGGTAAGGGGAGGATGTATTGCCTGAAGAAGGGAGATCTCAGGAAAATACAAGAACTGTCCAACCACCTTAAGGATTAGATCTTAAAAGAAAAATTAGGCATTTCATTTTGTGGGTTGAAACTGGACCAAGAGAGCTGTTTGTTCAATTTCAAAAAAATGATTTCTGACTACTAAGGTTTGGTAACATAATGTATCCTCTTGATTGCTTCAGTATTCTCAGTAAAGTCTGGAGCAAATATAACAGCATCAGGTGACCAGAGGGCTCAGATCCACAGCACAAGAGAGACAGGTTACAAGAAGTGCTGTAGGAGCCAGGGAGAGGGCTCAGCTGGTAAAGCGCTTACAGTGCAAGCATGAAGACCTTAGTTTAGATCCCGAGCACCCATATAAAAAATTGGGCTCAGTGACACATCTGCAACCCCAGTGCTGGGATGGTGGCAACAGGAAGTCCTGAAGCCCATTAGCTAGCTAGTCTTGCCAAATTGGTGAACTCTAGGTTCAGAAAGAGACTGTGTGTCTCAGAATAAGGTGGAAGGGTTGGAGAGATGGCACTTGCCATCCCATATGAGTTCAGATCTCCAGAGCCCATGTACATGCCTGTTGGGTGTGGCAGTCAACTGTAATTCCAGCAATCTAGAAGGTGTGGAGACAAGATCCCTAGAGCAAGCTGGCTGTTAGATTAGCTGTAGCTACAAGATCTGGGTTCAATGGAGAGGGCCTGCTTCAATGAATAAAATGCAGAGCAATGGAAGAAGACTCCTGACATCAACCTTGGAACTCCATACATACATGCACACATACCCACATACATATTAACACACACATATGCATGCATAACACACACAAAAAATAAGGTGGAGCTCAATTAAGAAAGGCACCTGATACCCACCTTTGCCCTCCACATGCACATGTACACACCCACACATGCAAGCACATGCACTCACACATACGTACACACACACATACACATGCACTCACAAAGTCCTATAGCAGAAGGCTTCACAGAATGAATCCAAAGATTTCCTACCATTTTTAGAGTCCCAGATTCTATCTTTTTTACTTCCATGCTGAGTTTTGTAGAGCAGTGCCCTGTTACTACCAAGTGAAGTCTGGAGTTCTTATCCTGGAATTCTAGAGCATTCACAGTCCCTGCACCTCCTCTCCAGCCTTTCTTCCCTTTCCCCACCCTTTGCTCTAGACCACTCCATCTGTATAAGCCATTCTCTTCTCTCCCTCCATTTGTGGATCTACTTCTGCAGCTCCCATTGCAGTGCACTGTGCCTCCTCTCACCTTGCCTTCTGCTTCTCCAAATTCTGAGCATTCATTAAAGGCCCTGGTAAATTTCAAAGCTTTTATGAAGGCTTTCTTTTTATATCCAAATATGCCTCCCTCCTTAAAATACCAGAGTACTTTATTCCTGCATCTTGTCCTCTTCTGCCCTGTATTTAGTTTTTTTTAATGTCCTTCCACTTAACTGTAACTCGCTTGAGAACAGGAAATGTCTTACTCATCTGCAACTCCTGAAGCTAGCTCATTGGGGTGGATAGAGGAGCAGATAGCCCACTTTATATACACTATAGAGCAGATGGGGGCTTGGTAGGATCCAGGAGTTGGAGGTAAAATTCTGTACCTCTAAACTTCCTTTTCAAATTTTATTCTACCATCCTCTGTAATTTTAGT